TCCCATGAAGAGGCATTTGGCCCAGAGGCTGAAGGTCTACATTTCTGGCCATAAATCTGCCAGTGGCACAAATCCTGACCTGGAATAGGCCCTTTCCCACTGAGTTCTGCTCTATAATCCATCAGTACTTCAACCACTGCCACCCCATCTTCCCCTCTGGCAGCAGGGACTGGACTCAGAGGTCCCAGGGACTGGGAGGGGTTGGGAAGACCCCAGCACTGCCCAAAATGTAGGTGAAGGTTTTAGGACCATCCACAGAAGGCAGAAATGAGTGGCCAAACGTCATTGGAAGACAAGAGGGGGCAGAGAGGGCAAAGCCAAGTGTTTTTTGCACCACCTGGGCACATTGGCACCACACATCCCACCCCTCCCTGACAGCAGCTGGAACAGGGACTGACAGAGGTGGGTAGGGGCAGCAGAGCAGAGGCCGAGTGGGAAAGGCCACAGGGTGAGAGGGGAAGGTGCTGCTCGAGGTAGAGACCCCTGTAGTCCCTCTCTGCACAGAGAGCACCCACTGCTCCTCTCCCACCACTCCTCAGCACCAGGAGAGGGATGGCAGCCCCCAAAATGCTGGAATCACCCTTCCCCCACTGCCAAGGTCACCAAACAGAGGCAAAAAGCACTTTCTGGGGGCCTTTGCTGGGGGGTTGGCCCCAGGATGAGTGGAGGGGCAGCTGGGGATTTTCCAGGGCGGATTTTCCAGCACAGCTGAGCACGTCCTGCCCTGTCCTTCCCGTTGTGCTGAGCACCCTGCAGTCACAGCTCCGGGCTGAGCACAGACAGCTCCCCTTTGATCTCAGATTCCCTTTGGAGCAGAGATCCTTCTCAGGAGGGAACAGACACCTCTTTTTAGCTGAGGGTCACTGTCACCAACAATAGACACCAGCAGTTGTTCTTGAGGCTTTTTCCCCCCTGAACTATTTCCCCCTCGGATGCCTTTGGATTTTTAGCTGTCCCTGATTACCCAGCCTGGTTGAGGGTCACCAGGCTGGCACATGAGCCCAGTGTGAGCCTCCACCTTCAGCCCAGCCCCTGCCAGGTCAGTCCAACCTGGCCCAGCATGTCCTGACTGCAGCTCCTCAACTCCAGGAGCCAAAACCAGCAGAGATGTCCCTTCCCAGTGACCACCCTTGTCTGACACAACTCTGGGCTCAGCTCTGCCCTCACCTGCAAAACCTGCACAACCTGCACACCTGCACTGGGCACCAGGAGTCCCCAGATGGGAAGCCCAAAGGTGGCATCACTCCCCACACACACAGGATGGTGGCTCCATTCCTGCTCTTGAAATTAAGGAAGAGGCTCCATCTAAATGTCCCCCGAGCCCAGCCTGAGCAGCCCAGGCCGTGTCTGCTCCACTCCAGCACCACTCCAGCACCCAGGGAAGTGGGACAACAGCCCTTTTCACAAACCACAATTCAGCTCCCCACAGGGATACTCTCCAACAGCCTGAGTGCCCTCATTTGCATTAGGAATGCCAGTTAAATGCACACACCACCTTCTGCTGTGCTGCAACCTCCTCAGTGAATTCCAGACACAGGGAAAACAGACCCAAAGGACCACCCTGGGACCCACCTGGAGGAGCTGCACCCGGAGCATGAACCAAGGAAAGAGGGAATTCCTTTCCCCACTGGAGGTGACACAAGCCTCCCAGGATCAGGATGGGTTGGTGACCAAAGAACTGGTGACTTGCAGGGCTGCTCTGCCTAAGGAAGCAAACATTCCACAGGTAGTGCTGCAAAACATCCCCCTCCTGTCGGCTCAGGGATGGGGCAGCCTTGGCACAGGCAGTGCAGGAGGACAGGGAGAAGCAGGGAGCAGGAATGTGCAGGTGGACTCCAGGAAAAGGGCTTGGACACCTGGGCACAGCACCAACTTATCAGCTCCTTGCAGCAGGGAGAGCAAGAGAGAACAAAGCTGTCCTGAGATAACAGAGCAAGATAAGGAGGGTCAGAGTGGGAACAAGCCAAGGGCTGGGGCAAGGAGGGAGGAGAACAACATGGAAACTCTCTCTGCTCAGCACATCAGGAGTCACAAGGCTGAAGTAACCCCCCAAAATCATTTATGCTGCAGAAATTTGTCAGGTTTCTGCAGAACTCTCAGCCCAGCTGTGTGTCCGTGACACTGCTTGATCTTCCAGGAATGGAGGGAGGGAGCTGGCTTCCCAGAAAGAAGAAGAAAAAAAAAAAGAGAGACCAAAGCTTTATGAAAGATCAAATTTATTGGTCAGACAGAATGACTTTGCCTCTTGCACTGTTTGTTATCCATCACAAGGAAAAAGCCAAGTGTTAAAAATCAAAACCATGAGAAATTTGGCTTAGGGGTCATGGAAAACCACCCCAAGGCAAAGAAGGAAAAGCTGCTCTCCAGGCAGGAGGGCAGCAGGAAGCTCTCCAGTGACTGGAGAAAGGTTGAAGTGACAGCCCAGCCCCTCTCCTGCAGGTTTGGGCACATTCCTTCACCCCTCCCTGGCACTTTTACATCCATTCCACTAATCCAGTAAAAAAAGATGTTAAGTTAAAACTTAACCTCAGCTGAAACAGAATTGGCAGGGCTTTGGTTTGCACCAGTAGGTTTCCAAGGGCAAATCACAACCACAGAACAGTTTTAAAGGAGTAAAACAGATCCAGGGCTGGGGCTCTTGTTCTACAAACTGGTTTTCCCTGTGCCAGTGCAGCCTGGGTTTAAGGTGAGTGCACCTTCAGCCTGGGGGCTCCTCAACCCCAGGCAGGGGCACTGTGCCCAGCTCATCCCTTGTGTTTCAGGCTCAATTCCCAGTTTGGAAGCATCAGAAAACCCTCCCTGATCCAGCAAAGAACACACCTGAGCCATTGCAGCCCTTTGTTCCAGTGCAGGGGGCTGGTTCACCCTGAAAGACTCAGGAACAAACTCCAGAGACACATGTACGCAGACAATTAAAAAATATTTAATCCAGAATTTTAGAGGATTTAAAAAAATAACTCATTTTAAAATCATTCTGATGTGTGTGGCCTGCTGAGTTCCCAAGCATCCAGTCTGGCCTGGGGCCAATCTTCCCTTCCCTCTCTCCATCACCCTCCCCTCTCCCAACCTCTTGTGCATGGTCCTGTTCCTTGACACATTCCAGTGCATTCCAAGGAAAACAAGCACGAGCAGCTCGTTACCAGGACAGAGATAACAAACATGAGGCTCAGCAACGTGCTTCCCCCAAGTTCCTGGTGGTTTTTTTCCCCCTCTCAGGGCAGGCAGGAGCTCCTGAGTGTGCTCCCACCCCTCACACTGTGCCCCTCGGGCTTCCTGACCGTGTCCCTCTGCCCAGGTGGGACCAGCAGCATCCTTCCCACAGGCAGCAGGGTTTTGGTTCACCCTGCAGTGTGATGTTCCCCTTCACTCTCCCCTCCAGCAGGGTGGCCCTCTGAGCAGCACCACGTTTCAGTGATACGCTCCAGGGCAGCCTTGAACTCTTTGGGTTCCTATCCCCACGTTTTGGCGAATCCCAGCCCGTTGTCCCGCAGCCAACACCCCCTCTGAGGTGCTTGTCCCACGTGGATGTTGTCCTGCCTGGCCCCCAGCAGCCCAGGAGTCCCTAAATGCTGTCATAGGGCATGGCCAGGCCGATGTTGTAGTTGTAGCCCGTGAGCTCGTCGTAGGACGAGCGGCAGATGGGGAGGACACTGTCCCCTGCCAGCTGCTCCCCTGAGAACTCGTAGGAGTAAATGATCCCTCGATACCTGCATGGAACACAACCAGGACACACCCCTGAACCTTCATCACATCCCAGGGAAAGGAATTATCACCATAAAGGATCGTCCCAGTTCAAGAACTCGGTGCTTCAGGAGCTGATATAAAACCCCTTCCCTCCTGCACTAGTCACAGTTTAACAGAACATCCCTCCTGCCTCCTTCCAGGGACCCAGCAAGCCCTGGGAATGAATCATTCCCTCCAGCACTGCAGAGACGTGACTGTCATCTGCTGAAACGTCTCCAGCCTGCTCAGGACGGGGGCAGACGAGCCCATTGTCGTTTGATAGTTCAATCACACACGGAGCAGCCCGAGATGCAAATACCAAAACCTGCAGTTTAAATACCAGTAGTTTTCCTTCAGGAGGAGATATCACTGCTAATATTTAGAGCATGGAAAAGGCTGCATTCCCTCTCTGGCTTCAGTGGCCTTTATGTTCCCCCGCTGAGAAAGAAATGCATTTTTTCGTGCTGAAAGAAAATAAAGAGCCAATTCCTCCCTTGTTTTGAAAACCTTATCCTTAAACTTTCTTTTTTTTTTTTTTTTTTAAGATGCTTTACCTCCTCTGTTCCTGCTCTGGATTATGACTCAGGGGCTTAGTGTGCTATTTAAAAATATATAAGGGAGAGCAGATCTGTGAGAGCTGCCTTAACTCACTTGCGGTGCACGGCGGGGTCGTCGTCGGCGCTGCCGCTGCCCCGAGGGTTCCTCTCCTCAGGGATGTTTGCCGTGATCAGACTGTGGGAATTGAACCACACGTGGCGAACCGGGTGCCTGGAAAACAACCCACAGCTCTGGGTGAGCTGCCACCTGCACTGCACTCCCAAAATCCAAGTGCAGGAGAGGGATCGCTCAGGATTGAACAAGGATTCGTTTAAGTCAACGCTCGTTCTATGGCCAGAGGTTGGGAACCTGCACCTCTGACTCTTCTCCAGCCTGGAGCAGATCCCACATCTTCTAT